GAGGGGGAGAGGATGGGGAGAAGAGTGGTGAACTTTTTTCTAATTTTATCTGACTTATTTAATTTAATTTTTATTGTTTCTATCAGCCTGCAGGCTCTGAGAGAAAAATAATTTGAAGCTGAGTTTTTGATAAAAATCATTAGATTGCTCTAAACGTCTGTAAACCTGCAAAATGAGGGAAAATCTTTGTCAATTACAGACATTCTGTTCACATGAGCAGTCAGTCAGCACCGTCATCCTCCAGACGCACGACGGAGCACGTGTCTTACCCAATCGCTTCTTTTGACATTGATCAGCTGACTGATTTAGATACACCTTAACATTCATTAGGTACTTTCCACTGACTGTTTATGGTTGAGTATGGGCGTGTAGAGGGTAGAACCTGAGGCGGGACATTGTGCGCAAACTCTGAGGTGTGGCTGTGATCTATAAAGGGAAGGTGTGCATGGTTTTATAAATCTGAATTTTTTTTTTTTTTTTTTTTGGTATACACCATTTTCGCCTTTTGGCCGTACATGCACTTATAGTATGGTTTCCACGTAATCTTTTATAAATCTGACCCCTAATCAATAATGGGTTGAAGGAACCAGGTGTACAGATGCAGGGGAGTCCATGCGTAACGGTACAAGTGAAGGTTAAATTTGAAAAGGCTTTGGGCAGTTTCCCATTAAAACAAGTTCTGCATTAACTCTAATCACCCTGAGGAGAAAAGAAGAATAAATTCCCCCATATTGACTTTTAGATTAGTTCTCAGGTTGTGGTAGTGATTAAAGCACAAAAGCAAGTGTTTGTATGAGGACATGCTCCATAAATGCTGTTTTACTAAATACTAATAGATCTCACAATACATGAATACCTTTGTCAGAATTTGTAGCAACATTTCCCACAACAGCTGCTGCATTGTTATCAAACCAATGTAGATAAAGGCTACCTTGGAGGCATAATTGTTGTCATGGGCCTATAAATGGGTAGTCTGGTCGTTTTTAAAATACTCTTGCCAATTATGTTAGTATCTTATCTGACTTTCATTATGAACTCTGAGAGAACATATGCACTAGGGAACATATGTACTGGAGAATATAGGTCTGGGGAACATAGAAACAAGAGAATATAGGTATTGGATACTGGGGAACATAGGTACCATAGAACATAGGTACTGAATATTATAAGTACTATGGAACATAAGTACGACATAACATAGGTACTGGGGAACAAAGATACCAGGGAACATGAGTACTAGACAACATACCGTAGGCACCAGACACTAGACAGAGAACATAGGAAAAGGATAACATAAGCACTAGGGAACATAGGCACTACAGAACATAGGTAAAGGAGAACATAGGTACTAGGGAACGTAAGTAAAAGAGAACATAGGTACCAGGGAACATAGGTACTAGAGAACATAGACAAAGGAGAATATAGGTACCAGGGAACATAGGTAAAGGGAACAAATAGGAAGCATAAGTAAAGGAGAACATAGGTACTAGGGAACATAGGCACTAGGGAACATAGGTAAAGGGGAACATAGGTACTAGAGAACAAAGGCACTAGGGAACATAGGTAAAGGGGAACATATAGGGAACATAAGTAAAGGAGAACATACTAGGGAGCATAGGCACTAGGGAACATACAGTAGGTAAAGTGCAATATAGGTACTAGAGAACATAGACACTAGGGAACATAGGTAAAGGGGAACATAGGAACTAGGGAACATAGACAAAGGGGAACATATAGGAAAAGGAGAACATAGGTACCAGGGAACATAGGTACTAGGGAACATGGGTACTAGAGAATATAAGTGCCAGGGAAAATAGGTAAAGGGGAACATAGGTACTWGAGAACATAGGCGCTAGGAAACATAGGTAAAGGGGAACAATGGTACTAGGGAACATAAGTAAAGGAGAACATAGGTACTGGAGAACACAGGTAAAGGAGAACATGGGTACTAGGGAACATAAGTAAAGGAGAACATAGGTACTAGGGAACATAGGTAAAGGAGAACATACTGTAGGTACCAGGGAACATAGGTAAAGGGGAACATATAGAAAACATAAGTAAAGGAGAACATACTAGGGAACATAGGCACTAGGAAACATAGGTATAGGGGAACACAGGTACTAGGAAATATAGGTATTAGGGAATATAGGTAAAGGGGAACATATAGGGAACATAAGAAAATGAGAACATAGGTACCAGGGAACATAGGAACAAGGGAACATAAGTACTAAGGGGAACATATAGGAAACATAAGTAAAGGAGATCATAGGGAACATAGGCACAATGGAACATAGGTAAAGGAGAACATAGCTACTAGAGAACGTAGGCACTAGGAAACATGGGTAAAGGGGAATATAGGGAACATGAGTAAAGGAGAACATAGGTACTAGGGAACATAGGTAAAGGAGGACATAGGTACCAGGAAACACAGGTAAAGGGGAACAAACATTCTGGGGAACATATACAGTATATGGGACCTTTTGTTTGGCTAACAGTTAGCCTGACCCAGAAAAAGACTTATGGTCTTTCTTCTTTCTTATGTCATGCTCTGTGACTCATGTCATGGATGATAAGAAACTGACTACTGATACTAATAATTAACACAACTTTTTGAGATTTCAAATTAAAATGTTACTAAATGCAGTCAGAAAAAAGCTCCAGCAAGATCARTGTCTGCCCGCTGACAGTAAAATATTTATATACAGACTCAAAAGATGCATTACTTTTAATGTATATGTATTGTTTCTAATAAATTAAATTAAAACTTAAAAACCAGGAAATAACAGTAAGCAAACCCAGATTAATTTTGTAAAATGTAAGCCTCTGAAGCAATAGTGAATATCCTAAAGGTAGATTGTAGAACAAACTGAACACAACGTTCTACCATCTTTGAAAGTCTAAACAATAAAAGTGTTGGCAGGTAGATAGGATCTGTTTCAAAAAAATTATTTTTTTATTCTGCGTTTGCTCCTTCTGTCTGTTTAAAATTTGTTTTGGAATGTATCAAAAAAGTTACATAATGTGTGAGTTTCAGGTAATTCAGGAGATTTTTGTATCAGTACTACACACTCAAACATGTTTTATGAGTTTTCACCAAAATAGTGAAACCCTAACATCACAAAATAAAAACACAGTATTTGAAGAACTGAATGTGACTCAATATCAAATCTAAACGCAAGATTCAGTCATTTAGGACATAAATAAAAACTCTAATGTTCACATATAAATAATCACTCCCCAAATTATCATGTCTTRAATTTAAAGTGGGACATTTTGAAATCATAGACAAAGATACAAATATTGTAAACGGATTCATCTCTCATCATTACATAGTTTTTTAATATTAGTCATTCTATCCTTTCAAAAGCTTAATCCTAATCTCACTGATGATGACATCACAAAATGTAATCTAATGATTTTAGTCAAAAGACATGCATTTATATATTTTAATCAACCTTTACAAAATACTACAGATTACTGGGTTATGCATACAATATGTATTCACCCTACGTGCTTCAGAAGTCACATAGTAGTTAAATTAGATCCACCTATGGACAATGGTCAAACAAGATCCCTGTATTTACTGTATAACTGTTGTTGTCATCATACAGAGACATCCACTCAGTGAAGCATGGTGGCGGCAGCATCATGCTCTGGAGATGTTTTTAATCAGCAGGGAGTGGGAATCTGATCAGAGCTAAAGGAAATATGGAAGGAAAGTAATACAGAATGGTTCTTTAGGGAAACTTGTTGGATTCTTCCAGAGATTTGTGACTGTGAGTTTCACCTTTGAGCAGAGCAATGACCAAAGACTCACAACTGAAGCAAAATAACTGGTTTAAGGAGAACCAGTTAAAGTCTGGTAGTTTTAAATAAGTGAGAACCAGTAAAAGACTGGTGGTTTTAAAAAAGGAGAACCAGTTAAAGTCTGGTAGTTTTAAATAAGTGAGAACCAGTAAAAGACTGGTGGTTTTAAAAAAGGAGAACCAGTTAAAGTCATGCAGTGGTCCAGACCTCAATCCAAAGGATTCTAGAAATTCAAATGACTTTTTCCAATTGATGTTTTATGCAGCATTTAGAACATACACAACCTAACAGATAAAGAAAATAGATTAAATTTAGAAAGACTCCTCTTTATCATTCATTACCTATGTCTTATTCTCTATCAACAACTTTTTCATTTATTATATCTTTGAATTTTTTATCACAGTCCAGCAAATTAGTTTAAAAAGAAAACCCTCACTAAAAATCCAATTATTTGACTTCAAAATGAGAAGAGAACAATAAAAAAAATTAAAGTCAATTCTCTGTTGCTCTTTACACACAGAAATCAAAGTTTACTGAAAAAGTCCAGCATAATTTTCTTGGCTCAACAGTTGGTCAGCTATCATGAGAAGAATGCACTAATAACAGTGACAAAAAGAGAAACCATTTAATTGCTTCACCTTTAAAGTAGTTCCTTTGGGGCTACAAATGTTAGCAAGGGCCAGATTTGGCCTGCGGGCCGCGAGTTTCAAACATGTGCTCTACAAAGTACAATCTTTGGGGGGGAAAAGGGGTGAAGAGTTATCCATCCTCAAGGATTTTGTTTGTTGTTTTGTTTTGGGGGATTTTTATTCCAAGATTATGGAAATAAAGAGAATGCCAAGGGGGTGAATACATTTGCAACCCATTGTTTAGAATCATGCATTTATAGCATTTTGTAAAACTGTCATGAAATATAACTATTAGCATCTATAGAAGGCAGATACTCCCACAACTAACCCTAACCCTTAGCATATAAGGTGAATAATCCCACAAACCTCCCACTACAAAACATTTGGATCAAAGCCATATTAGATTTACAAATTTAAGGGACAACTTTTGCTCATCTGCTCATTTAGCAACTTATTTTGTTACTCATAAATGTTTTACACCATTTTTACAAAGTTGTACCTCTGATTTTTTTTTATCGTTTTTCAAAGTCAAACACAAGATAATTTAAGGAAAAGCCAAAACGATGAGAAAATACATCATTTTATAAGGGAATAAACAATAATGTAGAGAATGTGTGTAACATTTTATCCTGTAAATAAAACACAACGTACTTAGTGACATAAAAGGCTAACAAAAACAAGGGTCGCCGTCATATTATCCACAATACATGCTGGATATAGTAGGAAAAAAACACCAGTGCCTCTAACAGCTTGTCAAATCAGGTGTGAATATCCCTCTCGGGCCAATTTAAAAAGCCCACCCACGTTTGAATGACCTCTGTGATCCAATTCTCTGAGATAACAGTGAAATTTCCATATGAACCTCTGAATATAAAAAACAGACACCACTTAGAGACTAGACATAATTTAAATTCTGCCCACAAAAAGGATATGCATTTCAGTGCAAACACCCAAATGTATGAAAACCAGTGAATTACTACCCCACATCAAATAGACTGTTTTTCATAACAAGACAAGAAAAAAACATTTATTAAGACTAACAATACAGGATGGAGATGAAAGTGACTTTTCTCCTTTACGCCATGTGAACAGGTTCTGTGATGGAGTGTCCCACTGTCCTAATCCCATTCTTTAGAATTCCCTCTTTGGAAATAAAATCCAAGTTCATTGCAGGGATTTTTGGGATGGCCATGTCAGAGTGTCCGGCCTGAGGCTCTAAGAAAGCCACCCTTTTTCCAATGGACCGCCTCTGTCCCGACTCCACCTCTTCGGGGTCCGAACAGAGGATGATGGCTCGTCCACCACACCCTCTGGAGCCCCCTCTGCTTTCCCGACACCGACAGGGGGTGAGGTAGAGGTAGAGCAGGACCAGCACGATGCTGACCACACAGGAAGCGAGGGTGGTAAACGCCGTGTTGAAATGTTCCCCGCTGCTTCGGCGTGCCAAGTCGGTGGTGGAGGAAGCACTCACGTTTCCAACCACTACTGTGACTTCTGGAGATTCACTGGGTTTGTAGTAGCGCCCTCGASACACCACACACCCATATGTACCAGAATCTTCCATAACTGCCTCTTGGATCTCAAGGGTACCATTGGGAAGAACTGACACATGGGCACTTGAATCACTTATTGATGAATTTACAGCTTTTTTGGGGGTAACCCAGAATACCACCAACCCCTCCTGGACAGGCAAAGTCAAACCGGGACAAGGTAGTCTCAGCAATTCTCCAGGGTCTACTTGAAAGTTCTGTGTCTCAAAGTTTGTTACTCCCTGATGTGTACAATTAACCTCTGCATTGCCTCTACATTGGTATTCAGCTCTGAAGTCCACTAGAGGGCGATACTGTTTCCACATCCAATACTCCAGCAAGGCCAGCAGTGTGCAGTCACAGAGCAGAGGATTTCCCTGCAAATAAACTCTTGCACAATGGGTGAGAGGCAGCAGACTCTGGACAGGCACCTTGGTGAGCCTATTGTACGTCAGGTCTAGGAAAGTCAGGTTACGAGGCCCTCTGGGTTCCTCGTAAAGCCCCAAGGGGAAGGCAGTCAGTCTGTTTGCAGACAGGTAGAGCCTCTGCAGGTTGCTGAGACCACTAAAGGCTCCCGGCTTTATGTCCACAATCTGGTTTCCAATTAGCAGCAGCTCCTTCAGCTCCTTCAGTCCACTAAAGAAGGATGAGTTCAGCACTGTCAGCTGGTTGGACGAGAGGTCCAGATGTAGGAGATGTGGCATCGCAGTGAAGGAAGCCACCTCGATTTGGCTTATCGAGTTCCTGCTCAGAACCAGTGTTGTTAGCCGGTGGAATGGCTGCGAAACCCAATCAGCACGCAGGACACTGATGGCGTTGTGGCTCAGGTCCAACCTTGTGGCATAGCTTGGGAGATCAAAGTGCAGCGTGGACAGATTGCGCCCGCTGCAGGAAATGATATCACTTGCACAAAGGCAGTAGGGAGGGCAAGTGGCCACAGTGGGCAGGAAGCCAAGACAAAGCAGGAGCACCATGGCTGCAGCAGGGGGGTTGCAACAGCTGCCACCAACAATGGGTTTGCCAAAAAGCCGTGGCGCAACGGTGTGCATCCTGGTTTCCCCCTCGGGATGGGATCTCATGTTACCGTCTCGCTTGGTGCACACATGTTAGGTATACGTATTTCAGTGCCCAGGTTGTATAAGCTGAGAAGAGAAACGAGAGAAGAACAGTTGAATTTAGGCTGTTATTTTTTACTTTGTGAATAAATACCTCACAACCAGAACAGTGTGACTCAAGAGAATGTCATCCAGATAAGCATCAACGCAACACAATGTGGCTGTCTGAGCCAAAAACAGCTACGGCACATGACTCCAAATATACCCTTTAATCCACATTAAATACAGCCCTGATGGCTGCTGGCTTCATCAACAACGCATGACAACTGTTGGAACAAGCGTAACCCGATCCACGTGTTTTTCTCATCCACCGTACAGCCACTTTATCACTTTGGTTCAACTGTTTTACCTGTAGCTCATGAAAACTCTGTGCACAAACAAATAATAAAGCCTTTCATTATTAAACTTAGTCAACATTATTTTCTTTATTTAAGTAATCAATCAAGCAGGAAAATGTATTCCTCAAATTTGAATCCATCCAAAGCCATTTTGCTTTCAGAGAGAAATTATTCATTTGTTGACAGCTTCAGCTTTTTAAAGTTAAGAATAAGCCACTAAGTTTAAAAAATAAGTGTAAAAAATGTAACAAGTTATCATTATTTTACCTTGTTTGGCAAAATGAATCAGCTCTCTTTTATTGTTTTTAATGCGAAAATATGAAGCAGAAACAACAACCTTCAGGTCCATCGTGTTCAGTCGTCCCTCAGATCCAGACGCTCTCCTCGGACACACGACCCCTCATGAATCCTAAAAGCCTGGAGGGAACTTGGCTCCTCTTGTGGACGATCCTCTGCTGCTCTGTGTGGGGAAGCCGCGGCTGGAGCCAACACCGGTGGTATGAGACACATATCGATGTGTGTGTGTGTGTGTGTGTGTGTGTGTGGGGGGGGGGGGGGGGTCGTTCTGGGAGGAAACAGACAAACAGAAGCCGACACGATGAGCTGAGAGTGGATGGTGGTGAGATGGGGAGAGGTGGTAGTCTGAAGAGGAGGAGGATGAAAAGGCAGAATGCTTTGAGGGAGGGGCAGCATCAGCACCATTGGCTGTTTGTCATGGGAATTTTCTGGGACTTCACTGTTTTTCTCATTTGTTTGGTTCTTGCTTGTGTTAGGTGTGTACCTGTTTGAGCAGGGTCACATGAACATGTTTCTAGTATTGAATCTTCAATAAATAATGTGCATCCCTGACACACAAGCACGTTGTAAAGGCATAGTTTGGTTATTTTGAAGTGATGATAAGTCCTGGCTACACCCACTTTGTGTAATACCTGCCTAGACAAAGAGTGTGTCCTAATTTAGGGGCTGCAGCTTACCTAGCCACACCCTTCATAACCTGAGTAGGCTGCGTAAAATGGCTGTAAAATGAGACAGTCTAACCTGCCCTAATAACCTCTGAAAGGAGGTGTCCAGGAGGCATCAGATGCCTGAAGCCACCTCAAATTATTATTTTCAATGCAGAGGAACAGTGACTCTTCAAGCGCCACCCTTCAGGTTTTAAAAACAACCTTGTGCAAAAAGTGCGAAAAAAAACTTAGCAAAAATGGAGTTTAGACGAAAGTTCAACCCTGGAAGACTAATCTGCCTCACCTGCTTTATCCAGCCACCGCATCCCAATTAGCCAATTAGCATCTGACATTAGCTCGCCAGCCAAACATCAGCCTACCACTACCCCTCCTCCAACCCTTCATCTTCTGGCTTCCAAGCACTTCCCCCTTCTACGACCACCACCTGTGCCCCAGGGGGGAAGAAAAACTCCTACCCCTTAACTTAAGCAGCTCATCTGAGCTTACAGCATCGCACAACTTTCACATCCTCTGCTGAGGTCCAAGTGCCAAACTCTAATGTCATTCATGTCAATAATTCTGTTAATTTCAGTCTGTCTTTGTGTGAGTCTTTCCAGGTTGAAAAAAGTCAGCAAATTTGAATTTGGATGATTATTTCTTTGTTGTAACAATGCTTCTTGGCAATAAATGTTATACCACAGGAAATTTTCCTCTTTAATTTGTTAAGAAAACGCATTTGTGGGTTGAGCAGCCTGAAAAACTCTGAAAATTTAGGGAAAATATCTCAACCAGTGCCAAACAGCTTATTTTGCTTTTGATACTTCTTTGGTGTTGTTTATTGTATTGAAGTCTGGAGTAAAAGACATATTATTTAACATTTAACATTTTACGCATTACACAAACAGGGTGCCTTAGTAGCATGTGGAAAGACCATACACAGCCACACCATACCACCTCATTACCTGTGAAATGGCAACAATTTATACTGCATCTGCYGTGCTCTGGTCCACTCCGGTGCGAAGCATAGAGGTGCATCAAGAAGCATGTGCAGGAAATGTGAAACTGCGCACTATAGTGATGAATGCAGAAGTCTGATCTAAACAATTCTGTGGAAGATGGACTCAAAACAATAGRTGAAACAGTAACGCTGTCTTTTTGAAACCTCTGATTGTTTTTTCTGTGTATTCATATGCTTCATGTTACTGTCTGCTTCACAAACGATTGATGCATTTTGACAGCATTTGTGTATAAATCAGTGGCGGCTGGTGGAATTTTCTCCCGGTGGGGCTACAACTCCAAAATAGACGTATCCCAAAAAGCAATCAAACATGTACTAAGTTGTATCACGCAAGTGTATTTATTTAAAAAATGGCAATCATAAAACAGCATTACAATGTCATTACAATGTGTTGTATTTTTAGTACATAAATTTTGCTCTTCTGTTACTGAGAAGCAAATTTCTTCATGACTCTGGTTAAATTTAGGGATGTTTTAACCAGATTTTTTTAGAGCATGGTCAGTGTGAGGTGTGATGTGTACCTGAGGAAAGTCTGGATTGTCTTCAGTGTTCAGCTCCTCTCAGATTCAGCTGTGGTCAGAAGAGATGTGATGAGAATCTTCAGCAGAGTCACAGTCTCTGAAGATGCAGATTGTTCTCCATGAAGAGCTCCACAGCACCACTGCAACTCCTGAACTCATAAAAGCCTGTTCAATGTTTAGCTTGGTCCTGTTCAGCATTGCATCCTCCATGGTTGTGAACTGCAGACCTGCAGGAACTTCAGCCTGCAGCTCTGATCAGATGCTTGTGAATGGCTGAAGATGATGTCACAAACCTAAAAAAATATGCGCAAGTTTAATTCAGTATGGAGATGGCTACAAGTGAACTTTATGATATTCAAAATATAGAAAACAACTGAAGTTATGAATGCACATGTTAATTTATTAACAACAAATTGTTGCACCTCTATGGTATTATATTATATTATATTATATTATATTATATTATATTATATTATATTATTAGATTATATTTAAAGCTGCGTTAACAATTGTAAAACAATATAACTATATTATACTATGATTAAAAGCATTACAAAAGTATTTTAGCTATATCCATCCTGAAGGTTAATTGGAGGTTATTGTCCAAGAGGACAATATCTGACGATTGTCTCTTTTAAATGAAACCAGAGAGTGTTGAGAGGAGAAGGTAGAAATGGCTCAGCCTGCAACTTAAAGTATAGATGGAGGACAACAGAGCTGCTTCATGGAAAAAGAACCCCAGCTTAGCCTGTTAGCTTTAGCATTAGCCCCAACGCTATCACCATATACTGTATATGTATTAGCTCAGCGCTAGTCACTGAGGTCCTCCATCCACATGACAAATAGGAGAACGAAAAATGACTCAGCCTGCAACTGAAAATATGGATGGAGGACCTCAGTTTAGCTTGTTTGTCGCACTAGCTCTGAGCTAATACATATAAGGCAATATAGAGTTGGCACTAGCGCAAAGACTAACAGGCTAAGCTAAGGTTCTTCTTCAGTAAAGCAGCTCTGTTGTCCTCCATCACATTTTCAGTTTAAAGGCTGAGCCATTTCTACCTTCTCCTCTACACTCTCTGGTTTCATTTAAAAAAGCCAATAGCCTATATGCCACCGACATCCGGTCCAGCACTTGATGCCACTCCAAACACTTCCGGTTCACAGTCAACACAGTGTCAGCAAAAGATTTTTTCACCCGACAACGACACTTGATCTCCACAGTACAGAATTAGCATATTACATGTACCAACATTAACACAGGACATGTACAGGTCCAGCCAAGTGAGAAAAAAAAATCACTCCAAAGTGGATTAAAGCCATAAAAACAAAGGAAAAATATTCGTGTTTATGGTTCCAGAATTTAGCCTTTTTCACTATTCCGTGGCTGCTTGTTCCGTGAATTTTTCACGTAGAGCTGTGACACTTATATTGTTGGAAAGAGCAGAGTCTGGCCTTTAAATTGAGGTGCTACTTGTATGGTTTCGATCGTTTTCCCCGACGTTAGTGAACTGAAAACGTAATGATTATCAGGCYGAGGTTCTGCTGCTCTCGGCGCTCGGGGGGGAGGAGGGGGTGCTCGTCACTCGGCTTTAYTCTACGCTGTAATATACACTCTAACAAGGTTTTACGTTAGCTTAAAACTCATGACAAAGTCACATAAAAACATTTCATTTAACATAAACGCGCGCACACATATACCTACCTTTGTACTGGCTGCTGTGTTAGCTTCCTGCTAGCTGTCGTGTGGAGGTGGTCTTTCCTCTCCTGGTCTTGGCAGTAAAAGGGGATAATTGTACATTTCTCTTTTGTAAACTCCGTCTTCTCATTTCTGATGCTGGCTCTTGAATATCCTCAGGTTAGAAACGCCGATTACAGACGCAAGCATGAGCTTTTAAAGATAAGTTTTCCCTGTAATGCTATGATCCACTGCTGTCACCTCCTCATCAAGAGGAAAATGGATAAAAACTAACTACTRGATCGTACCTGCTGCTTAGTGGACACAACGGCCACACAACAGAACTCACGTTTTATACCAGTAGATCACAGATGATTTAACTTTTGTGACTTTTTCACGGACTAGTACTAGGAGCTAACGCTAAAATAGGCAGTGGAAACAGGGAGTGGAAGGGAGAAGCGTGGCAAGAATTTTACCGGAAATACATCATTAATGACCATGGCATATAGGCTATTGTCAGATATTGTCCAAGATAAACCTTTAGGGTGGAATAAAGTCTAATGTTACAACTAATCAGGGATCACTGTGTAGGTTGTTCTTTGTGTGGTAAACTACTGAGAAAATGTTTTTCCTGCATGAGTGTTGTTCTGAAGACATTAGCATTATGCTAGCGGTTTTTAGATAGCATATTAGCAAAAAATAGCATATTAGCAGCTAATTTATACGAAGCTAATGCATGTTTCTTGCAAAATATATATTAATAGTGATATTTTATCAATTCTAATGTTTTAAGAGTACATTATATGTGGTTTACATAGTATGATTTGCTAATTTAGATTAAGCACAGCTTTATTTGTGATTTGTTAAAATAAGTTACGATGATCAAATGTATTTTTATAAATTTGTGTTTATATGCATATATGTAATTTTATCTTATTTACAGTTTCAATGATAACAGCTGCTCTGTAGATTTCAGAGGAAAATATACAACAGCTATCCTTGTGTTATTTGTAACATGAAGAGTAGCTTGGGATTCACTTGGAAGTAAGTTTTAAATTAAATTTCAAACAGTTCTGGCAAAAATTATTGCACTTAATATTCTGATACTTTATTATTTTTTATTATGTATTTGAGGGGTATTGGAATGCCACCCTGATYAAATTAATCACTGTTAATACTTTGAAAAATAGTATTGTTTATTGACAGGTCTGATTAACACAGAAGAAAATGTTTCCGTTCTGCAGATGCTGTTCTTCAGGAAGGAGAATGTCACTTTGTCTAATATTGGAATGCTGTGACGCTGAATTAAAATAATGTTCTATTGTTAGTGAAGTATTTTTCATCTGTTACCAGAAAGTGTATATTTTTTTCCATGAATGTGCAGT